TTGAGTCCGTCCACTTTTTCCACTTCCACTGCCACCTGCCTGGTCCAAGCCACCAGGTCACACCTGAAGATGGGAAAAAACCGCCTGGTCTAGAAAATTTCCACCATCCCTTCCTAGAATCCATTCCCCCACAGCTGCCTGAATGGTCTTTCAGAAACAGAAATAAGATTGTGTCTCTCCTGCTGCCACCTTCCAGGGATTACACTACCATACTTAAAACCCGAAGTTTGTTTTGGAGTAATGAAGGTGTCCTGGAAATAGAGAGAAATAATGGTTGCATAACTTTGTGAATACACTGAAAATAGTGAGTCGCATGTATTAGAAGAATGAATTTTATTATATCTCAAGTTTTAAAAAAAATCTAAACTTTTCCTTGGCTTACAAGGGCACATATCCATCCCTATTCGGGGTCCCTCCGCCCTCCCCCTCTTCCTTCTCTTTCCAATTTCTTACTCCAATCACCCTTGGCGCTTCTGCCCCTTAACCCCCCGAGCCTGCTCTGGCTCTAGGGCCTAGCACTGGGCACCCCCTTCCACCTGGAACTGCTAAATCCATAGGCTGGCTCACTTTCCATTCAAAGTGCAGCTTAAACTCTACCATCTCAGGGAGGCCTTCCTTAGCAACCAGTCTAAAGTGGTCACCCGCCATTCTCTAGCACGTCACCCTATTGTAATCTCCTGAACAGCACTTCCCTGTCTGGTGTTTCCTTATGTTTCCTCATCTGTCTCCTTCTCTAGTCTTGAATTTCATGAGAACAGGGCTTTGAACTATGTGGTTCACAAGTGCAACTCAAGGGTCTAGGATCTAGAACAACTTCTACGTAGAACAGCTGTTCAACGTTTGCAGGATAAATAAATGCTGGCTACTTTTACTTATTACTGTCGTTATTGCCTACTATGGAGGTCCTTGATGGGCTATGTGAAGGCTACGAACTGACCTGTAGACTAAGGATGGGGCTGAGGACTTACACGGGGTGTGTGTGGGGGGGTGATGTGCACAATCAACCGGGACAGGTGGGTATTTTGGCCAAACCAACCACTTACTCTCTTCAAATCAATGTTTTTCAAATCCTTTGTCAAAGTTTAGCAGTAGTTCTCAAACTTTAGTATACGTAAGAATCTATAAGATGGGAACCAGCAGTTAGCGTAATGGCTATGTCGCTGGACTCCCACGTAGTCGACCGCGGTTCGTGTCCCGGACCCGGTGGCTTAAAACTCACGCCGGGCGCGTGTGCGTGCGTGCCCAAGATCCCGAGAGGAGAATGGAGGAGAAGGGATTGCGGCATGACCATCCCCCCTGGGGGGTGATTTCTCGCTTTCTGTCTCTTTGTCTCTCTCTGTCTGTCTGGCGAGCGCACATGCCCTACAGTGAAAATCTCTCCAAAAAAAAAAAAAAAAAGAATCTATAAGAAAATGCTTAAGGGGGAGATTACCAGGCCCTATCCCCCAGAGTTTCTGATTGGAAAGATCTAGAATGGGACCAAGAATCTGCATTTTTCACAAGCTCCCAGGTGCTGAAGCTACTGGCCTGGAGGCCCCACTTTGAGAACCACTGGTTTGGAGTTCTTGCTGGGAGGAAAGCAGAGAAAGAGATCAATGGTGACAGCCTCTTCTATAGCCCTAAGCAACTAAGGTCTGGTCCCAAACTTTTATACCCTCACATAGCAAAGTAAAAGCCTTCCAGCTAACTAGATCCAATCTCTTTGAAAGCATTTTAGAGCTACCCTCGGTGGGGGAGGATACGGGAAGAAAAAGAGATGGAATGAGGGAGAGGAAAAGTGAAGGAATCTCACCTGCACTCTGGTAACTGCATATTATTTCTCCATCCTCTTAGATGTCAGCAGTCTGTTACCCCCTTGACTGCCCTTGGTAGGAAGGCTAGCCCGTTTATCCAGCTCTCATGATGACTGGATTTATGTGCTCTGTAAGATCCCTCTGGTTATCGGAAGGAAGATGGATAGGAATGACACAAAACTGCAGACAGAGCTCATTTGGAGATTGTTAAATAATGTAGGTGAGGACAGAAAAGACAGAGAAGAGGCATGAGGAGAAGAGTTCTGAGAGCTATTTTAGAAGTATAATTGATAGGACATAATGGCTCCATGTAGAGAGAGGGAACAGTCAAAGATGACTCCCAGGTTTCTGGAGAGGACGCCACAGGGTTCGTGGCATTTATTAAGAAATAAAACACTGGACAAGCTGCTGGATTAAGGAGCCAGATGATGAATCTCTTTTTAGTCATGCTGAGTTTGAGATACCATAAAGATATCTACTGCCCGAGTCCAGCAAACAGTTGCTTCTGTGAATATATGGTCTGGCCCTCCGTAGACAAGTCTGGGCTGGACATACGAAGTTGGTAGTCATCAGCATATAGGGGGTAATTAAAGCCTTGCGAGCAGATGAGATCACCCAACGAAGGCACACAAAGAAAATGAGGTTTGTAACTTAACAGTAAAACTCACTGAATCATGGGCTATCTGCATGCAGACTTAATCACACCTGAGAAAAGCTTTGTTATTTGGTTGATGTGGCCAAATTCAAAGGCACTATCATCATTTACTGGAGGCACTTTGTTTAATCAAAGAGCCTAGTGCCAATGATGATGAAGACGGTTGTGATGGTGATGATGACGATGATGTTGATGGTGATGACGAAAACAAAAATAATGACTAGCACTGAATTATGATGTGCCAGACTGTTCCAAGTGCTTTTCATGGAGTACTAACTACTGAAAGTAGTTACAAACCTATGAGGTAGTTAGTATTATTAGCCCCATTTTGCCAAAGAAACAGAAGCAGGGAGAAATTAAATGACTTACTCAAGGTCATATAACAAATGGAAGGGTCAGGATTCAAACCCAGGAGCCTGAACCCAAATCTGTGCTCTTAAAAGCATCCTACACATCGATTAAACTCAAGTGTTTTTAGTCAGAACACATATAAATGAAGGGAAAACATTAACACATTAATGATTTAGAGTAACGTCCATCAACAAGAAACTCTAACACACAATGGTATGATTTGCTCATTAACTATAAAACCCTAAAGATTATCTTGGAAAAAAAAAAATGCTTACTAACTGTACAACAGGTTCTTCCAAGAGTTTGTCTTCAACTTTTCCTCCTAAACAGACAATCTATATTTTATTTTATTTTATTTATTTATTTTTTTGAGAGGTTTTCGCTATAGGGAGCGTGCACTTGCCAGATAGACAGAGAGAGACAGATAGACAGAAAGCGAGAAATCACCTCCCAGGGGGGATGGTCATGCCGCAATCCCTTCTCCTCCATTCTCCTCTCAGGATCTTGGGCACGCATGCATGCACATGTGCTCGGTGTGAGTTTTAAGCCATCGTGTCCAGGAGACGAACCGCAGTCGACTACGTGGGAGTCCAGGGACATAGCCATTACACTAACTGCTGGTTCCCGACGATTTATATTTTAATTCTTAGTATCACCAACATATGCTTTCATATAACTAATAGCTATTTTACTAATGTAAAGATCATCTGTTCACTTTTTTCTTACAAGTGAAAATTAGTAATACTACTCAGATACTTAAATTTCACTTTTTTCTTTCTTTAAGGCATTTAATTCGCAGTAGATAATTAATTGTCCAGTTTCTTATCTGAGGCAAATACTATTATTTCTACCATATAAGAAAAAAAAAAAAAAAAGAAAATGAACTGCTAACTCACTGGAGATTACATTTCAGAACTAGGACCTAGGCTACCCAACTTTCCAGTCCCTTCCTCAACTTATGCCTTCTTGTGTGTGTTTTTTTTAATAGAGGTTTTTGCCTTAGGGTGAGTGTGCTCACCAGAGAGAGACAGAGACACAGACACAAGCAGTGAGAAGGAAAGTAAGAAATCACCTCGAGTGGCCACACCGCAATCCCTTCTCCATTTTCCTCCTGGGATCTTGGGCACACTTACACACACGTCTGGCATGATTTTCAAGCCACTGGTCCGGGACTTGAACCATGGATGGCCATGTGGGAGTCCAGCAACGTAACCGCTATGCCAACTTATTGCCGACTTATGCCTTTTTGTAAAATTCAAAATATCCAAAGGTTGTCCTCACAGTCTGCACCGACAATCAGCACAAATATTATCACACAAGAGATCTAGCTTACCTCAGAAGATCTGAAAGAGTTATTGTTTCTCTCTGCCAAAGTAAGGACAGATAGCAGAAAGCAAGTGTCCTTGGCACGGTCATCTTCACAAGTCCCTTCTCCCTTCGCTGTGAATATTCGACCCCATCCAGAGATCCAGAACAGACAGATGCCATTTCTTAGGAGATAAATGGAGACGTTTTAAAATGTAAGTATCTACTTCAGACAATAAAAGAAAAACAACAAAAAATCCAAACAGGCATTTTTAATATCTTAAAATTAGGTTAAGAACTGATGTAATTTTGACAAAAAGCAATTTGGCAATGAACAGCAAGGAAGGTTAGAATGACATTAGCCGGAAAAGAAACTGTGGGTTTTGTGTGGGAGTGGGGGTGGGATGGGATGGGACGGGATGGGATTTTTTTTTTTTTCAAGATTTTTGCCATAAGGTGTATGTGCTCAACAGAGGACAGAGACAGACAAATACAGTAGAGGGAAAAAGAAAAACCATCATCCAAGGGAGATGGCCACACAGCAATCCCTTCTCCTCCATTTTCCCTTCAGGATCTTGGGATGTATACACACATGCCTGGTGTGATTTTCAAGTCACCAGTTCCAGGACTCAAACTGTGGCCGGCCACGTGGATTCTAGCTGCTTTAACCACCACACCACCTGCTAGCCTCTGGGATGCGATTTTAAAAAGGAATTAAAATGGTTTGAACTTTTGAATAATGAACATGAACTTTTCTTATTGAATAAATAAAAAGAGAGAATCCATTCCAAAGTTAAGCAAAAAATGTGTAACTCCTTTGACTCAGGCCTCAACTCACACATCCCTGCTTCAGAGAGGCCTTTCCAAAACTCTCGGGGAAAACAGCACGACTTCCCATCCCCAGCCTCCAGCCAGTCTGCCATGTTGCGTTACTGCATCCTCACTCACTCAGCTGCTCAACAATCCTCATCTCATTCCTTCAGCCACGCCTCTAGGTCTCAAGAAATGACTGAAAAGGTCTCACTACTCTTGGAATTTTTGTTCTATTAATGGGAGACAGACCAATAAGTAAACAAAAAATCCAACCGACAGCCGGTGGCACCACGTGGAAGAAGAGGCATGTAGGTACAAAGTGAAGCAAAAGGAAGAGAGATGTACTGTTTCATGAGGGAGTCAGGGAGGCTTCTTGGAGAAGACATTTGAGCAGAGGCCTGAACAGATTGAGAGAGTAAGTCTTAAGGCTCTGGGAAGAATACCAACCACATCAGGAGTGAACGGGCAGGCTCGGCAAAGAGGTCAGGGCGCTGACAGCACCCTGGGTGATGGAAGGTGGGGGTGTGGGGAGGCTGGAGAGAGAGAAGATGCTAAGTTATGCAGAGCTCTGCAGGTCAAGATTTGTACTTTGGATTGTAGTCTAAGAGTTTCTGGAGAGTCCTAAACAGGGGAGCAACATACTCTCATTTATACTCTAAAAAGGTCATTCTGGCTGCTGGAAGAAGAATGGAGTTCAGGGGGGCAGGAAAGCAATTACAAGAACTTGGACTGCAGTGGTAGTGTTGTAGGTGGTAAGAGCAGTTGGGCTCTGGATTTTGAAGGCAGACTCAAAAGGATTTGCTGGGGACCAGCAGATGGCGTAATGGTTACGGTGCTGGACTCCCACATGGTCGGCCATGGTTCAAGTACGGGATCCAGCAGCTTAAAACTCACAGCAGGCGTAGGGACCAGCAGTTAGCGTAATGGCTATGTCGCTGGACTCCCATGTAGTCAACCATGGCTCGCGTCCTAGACCTGGTGGCTTAAAACTCACACTGGGCGCGTGTGCGTGCGTGCCAAGATCCCGAGAGGAGAATGGAGGAGAAGGGATTGCGGCGTGGCCATCCCCCCTGGGGGGTGATTTCTCACTTTCTGTCTCTCTGTCTCTCTCTGGCTGGCTGGTGAGCGCACACACCCTATAGCAAAAACCTCTCAAAAAAAAAAAAAAAATTCACAGCAGGCCTGTGTGCGTGCATGTCCAAGATCCCGAGAGCTGAATGGAGTTGAGAAGGGACTGCAGCGTGACCACTGCCCCTGGGGGAGTAATTTCTCACTTTCTGTCTCTCTGGTGAGTGCACACACCCTACAGCAAAAATCTCTCTGTCTCAAACGAAAAGACGGATTTGCTGATAGTAGAAATGTAAAGTATGAAAGAAGACAAATATAGCTCTAAGGTTTTTGGCCTGAGCAACAAAAAGTACAGGGATGGCATTTACTAAGACATGGAAGAGGGCAAAGCGCAGGTTTGAAGAGGTCCTACTGAGCGTCACAGTCTATGAAATGCACCAGTGGGAATAGGCAGCTGAAAGTAAAACTCCCATGTAGAGGAGAGGTTGGCCTACAAACAGTAATTTAGGATTTCAGGATACAGTTGGTGCTTGATTAAAGCCATGCCACTTGGTGAAGGCCCTGTGGAGAGAGGGTAGATCGAGAAGCAGGACTAGGAATGATCCTGAAAAACTCCATGCTGTCCTGGACATAAACTCCTGAGATCTTCCTAAACCCTCTCCCCTTTCCAGATCCTCCTGTGAGTCCTCTCTTCATGGTGCTCAGCAGTAATGGAGTCCCCCATGTGTGCATCGCTGCCCTTCCCGCCCCACAGCAGAGACAGCTGGAAGGCAGGCAGTCTTGTTCACACTGTGCCCCCAGTGCCCAGTGAAGCAGTCCAATAAACAGTAGTGACAGACTGAGCCAATGGTTCTACTTCTAAAATCCCATCCTAGCAAAATGATTTTTTTTTCTGGAGAGGTTTCCGCTATAGGGTGCGTGCGCTCGCCAGACAGACAGAGACAGAGAGACAGAAAGCGAGAAATCACCCCCCGGGGGGGATGGTCACGCCGCAATCCCTTCTCCTCCATTCTCCTCTCAGGATCTTGGGCACGCATGCACACGCGCCCGGCGTGAGTTTTAAGCCACTGGGTCCGGGACACGAACCGCGGTCTACTACGTGGGAGTCCAGCGACATAGCCATTACGCTAACTGCTGGTTCCCGCTAGCAAAATGATTTTGAAAACATGCAAAGGTTTAGGGTCAAGGAATGTCATGGCAGCACCGTTGATAAAATGAAAACCTAAGTGCCAGAAAATAGGTTTATTAACTAATTCCATGCACTGGCACAGGAGGTAACAGTTCCCATATGTGGTTTGCAAAGTGCAGTTCCTGGACCAGCAGAGCTAGCATACTTGAGCACTTAACAGAAATGCAAGCTAATTAGTTGTTTCAACAAGCTCCCCAGTGATTCTGATGGAACTGAAGTTTGAAAGCCACTATATTAAAAAAATATGTTAAAAATACAGATTTCCATAAAACAATATCCAGAAAACACACACCTCTCCTCTCTCCCACTAAAACAACTATTATAAAGGAATCTTTAAAACATATAAACTGGGACTGGTCAGTGGTATGGTGGTTAAAATGGCTGGATCCCATATGGTCGATTGCATAGTTCGAGTCCCAGACCCAGCAGTTTGAAAAACATACCAGGTGCATGTGTAAGCATGCCCAAAATCCTAAGAGGAGCATGTAGGAGAAGGAACTGCGGTGTAGCCTTTCTCCCTTGGAGGACACTTTCTCACTTTACTTTCTCCCTCTCTCTCTGTTCTCCTGACAAGCACACATGTCCTATAGACAAAAAAAAAAAAAAAAGATGAACAAACAAAAAAACATATAAACTGATGAATAAATAACATGGAAAAGGAGACAACAGCAATAAAATTTTATTGTAGAACTGGGAAATCACACAGGTGACTACTGCCTCAGGGGTCCTAAGAAAGCACTCAAAGCCAGCAGTGAAGAAAGACAAAGGGCAATTCATTTTCCACTGGGGATCCCTAAAGAAGGCATGGGAATTGGTTAAACCAGCCACCCCTGGAGAAGATCAGGGCAGGGCTAACACAAGGAGGTCTTCTCGACAGTCTGATTAAGAAGCAATCAGACAGGACCAGCAGTTAGCGTAATGGCTATGTCGCTGGACTCCCATGTACTCGACTGCAGTTAGAGTCCCGGACCCAGTGGCTTAAACTCACACCGGGCACGTGTGCGTGCATGCCCAAGATCCTGAGAGGAGAATGGAGGAACTACGGCGTGGCCATCCCCCCTGGGGGGTGATTTCTTGCTTTCTATCTCACTGTCTCTCTTTCTGGCGAGTACATGAGCCCTATAGCAAAAAACCTCTCCAAAAAAAAAAGAAGAAGCAATCAGACATCCAGAGTCTTATCCCAACTCCATGCAGCCAAGGGACTCCCCCCTATTCTTGGCAGAAAATTGTAAGTTTCTACTCTAGAGAGATAAAGTGAGGAGTCTCTGGAATAGGGCAGCTTGACCACAGGCAGAACTGAAAATAGGAGGATTAAGTGAAAGTTTACATAGCAAGTACTGAGACAAACCCCTCCTCTCAGGCCTTCTTCCTACCCAGTTCCAAGAACACAGAGTGCCACGATTACTCCAAACACAAGACTCAGAGGGATTTCTCTGTGGAATCTGATCATCTTAGGGAGGAGAGATTTAAGATGATAATGCTGGAGGTTCGCTAAGAAAACAACCTAGTTGGTCCAGCTGTGGTGGCAATGCTGCTAAGATATAGTGCTCCTTGGGCTGGGACCGCATGGGAAGTCCCAGCCCAATCCCCAATCCAACCTAAAGGCCAGCACAGTGGCATACACCTATAATCCCAGCAGTGTGGGAGGCTGAGGTGGGAGGACTGCGAGCTTAACACAATGAGACTCTGTATAATAGTAATAATACAAAGAGCTGGGTGTGCTGGTGCTCACCCACGGTCCCAGCTGGAAGGCTGAGGCAGGGCAATTGTAAAGAGAGTGAGACCCTGTTGAGGAAGGAAGGAAGGAAGGAAGGAAGGAAGGAAGGAAGGCAGGCAGGCAGGCAGGCAGGAAGGAAAGGAAGGAAGGAAGGAAATTAGGAAGTAAACAGCTAAGAAGGAGGGAAATAACCTAGTTAGATCACCCTCGCATACAGATCAAAGCTGACAAGACTCACCATGGTACAAAGCTTTCAATCAAGGTTGCCGTCTCCATTCTAAAATAAGAGCAGCTATCTCAGGGCCAGCAGGTGGCATGGTGCTTAAGGCACTGGACTTCCTATGGCCAACCGCAGTTGGAGTCCTAGACCTGGCGGCTTGAAAAATCACATTGGGCGT